TCTGTAATAACTTAACCAAATTAATCGATTTCACTCTGAGAAAAAGTTTTTGCTTTACCTTTAATGACCTTGAATTTCTTGTTTCCCTCGTGACACTTTTTGAGGCTCTGATTGAAACAGGTACTTGAAAACACCGAAGTCAAAAAACGAGTTGCACTATCAAATCCTTATGGAAAGTGGGTCAGGGAAAACTTACGATCATTGAAGCATGTAAACTTCCTTCCAACTGTGGTTATGGACACTGAAACAATTCTAAGGCGTCAGCAGTGAGTATCTTCTTCTAATCTTGTTTTTGAAATATCGAATTGGGTCATCATCATCTAATCTATATTTTATTATGTGCTGAACCAACAGCTGTAAGAGTTTCTCCTGTGTTACTTCACAATTGAAATGAATGTATATGATATTTGTGATTGGTTTCGGTTTTGTTGAGACCAAAACTCCCAAGACTTCTATTTGGAACTATTTTGGTTGTATTAAGTATTTAAGTTGTAGCCCATACACCATTATATTATGAGAATATCCACCATTGAATTAACTACAACCAAGTCCAAATAAAGTACAATAACCAAGAATGACAAGTTCAAGTCTTGGGAGTTGACTCTTGTAAAAAATGACAAAGGAAGGCTTGCTCCTTATACACCCTTGTGGTGGGACCCTTCCTTGGTCCCTCACCTTGAGGGGGCGCCAATGTGTACTGGGTTGGCCTTTATAATTCCAAATAATGGCCAACTATGAGTAATAAAGAGTCTTAATTAAACCCAAATTGTCCTGGGTAGGATTGTTGTGATATCTATCATTTTCATTTAACTTGCTCTTGTTCTTTTGAGAAAACAGGGCATATGGGTATTCTAGTGAGGATGTTCAAATGGTTATTGAGACTATGGCTGCACAAGGGAAGGAATCTACATTTTGCATGGGAGATGATATACCTTTGGCTGTGTTATCTTCCAAGCCTCATATGCTATTTGATTATTTCAAGCAGAGGTTTGCTCAGGTATGCATACTTATTACGGATATAATCAGGATCAAGCATCATGAAATATACAGACACTACTGCAAAAGATAGCTAATTGGTAACCTTACTTCTGAAACATGCATCTAGTGAAATCAGGTTGACTTTTCCTTCTGTTCCCCTGTTTTTTGAAGTTACTTTCGCCATCACATATTACTCTAAGTCTCCTTTGCACCTTGCTTTGAGAATACTGCATTTGATCAACTTCCTAAAACCTTATTTATGCACATAATCTGTTACATCTGGTTTAATTTTTGCATGGGCTATTCTTTGCACATATTTATAGGTCACGAATCCGGCAATTGATCCCCTTAGAGAGGGATTAGTTATGTCTCTTGAAGTCCATCTTGGGAAGCGAGGAAATATACAAGAGGTTGGGCCTGAAAATGCCTCTCAGGTTAGATTACATTTTCTTTACCTCTTACTTTTGAGAGAGACTAGTTACGTCTTTGCTGCTCTCCAATTTCTTAAATAGGAACTATTTGCGTTCACATTCAGGTTAATTTGTCATGTCCTGTGCTTAATGAAGGAGAGTTAGAATCTCTTTTGAAAGATCCACTCTTGAAGCCTCAAATATTACCCGCGTTTTTTAATGTTGGAAAAGGAGTATATGGTTCCTTGGAAAAGGCACTGTACAGACTTTGTGAAGCAGCAGATGAAGCTGTTAGAAATGGTTCTCAATTGCTTGTTATCTCTGACAGGGATGATGAGCTGGTAAGCTTTTCATCTGGACTGTTAGGTTCTATGGTGTGCTCTTTTTTGTCTATGATTGTATCATAATGCAAGATACCCTATGTGTTAGATTGTTGAAGTTGTACAGCTTAACATATGCATTATCTGAACCTCAACTTCCTCTGGAAGATGTAAATGTATCTGCTGCAATTAATATTTGTGACTGTCTGACTTATTGTCTGTGCTGCCAGGTAGCTGCACGGCCTGCAATTCCAATACTTCTTGCTGTAGGTGCAGTTCACCAGCACTTGATTCACAATGGCCTGCGTATGTCTGCTTCTATTGTTGTTGATACTGCTCAGTGCTTCAGCACTCATCAGTTCGCTTGCTTGATAGGATATGGTGCAAGGTTATGTCCATAAATCTCACATCTAATTTTCTTTCCCACTGCTTTGAAAAACTAAGTCCTTTTAATTAAAGATATTTGCGTGAGAACTCATTTGTTGTTTTTTCTCCCATGTCATGAGACATCCACTATGCACGGAGATTGTGGAAAATCTTGACTTTGTGTTGAGGAAATATTAGAATAGCAACAGGAATTGAAAGGAAGAAGATGATTTCTCATTATTTTCACAATAGTCACTACATGTCTATTTATAGTACATAAGCTTAACAGATTTGTAACTAATAGTAGGCAGCTCTAACCGACTAACTGTGACAGCTAGATTAATTCTAGGCTATTACAATGTGCGTACATATAGTATTCCTAACATTCCCCTCTCAAAATTAGGGTTATTGATTTGGAAGATCAATCACACTAAGTTTGGTTCTAAGTCAAGAAATGATGAGGCAGACAGAGGCTTTGTTAGAACATCAGCAAGTTGATGAGGAGCTGGAATATGGAACACTTCAAGCTGCTTGGATTGAACCTTTTCTCTGTCAAAAAGAGATCAATTTCCATGTGTTTTTATACGAGAATGTAGCCATGTAGGACAGGATTATGTGCAAGTTGGACTGTGCTCAGATTATCACAGTAAACTTTTGGAATGGTGAATGAAACTTGAAGTTCTTTGAGTAGATATTGAACCCATAAGAGTTCAGCTGCTGTGTCTGCTAAGCTTCTGTACTCAGCTTCTGCTGAGGATCTAGCCACTCTTAATTGTTTCTTGGACCACCAAGAAATAATATTTGAACCAAGAAATATGCAGGATCCAGAGGTGGATCTTCTAACAACAGGATCTGAGGCCCAATCAGCATCACAGAATGCTGAGACAGGCAGAGGTATGGCGGCTAAAGGAAGAGGTTTGATTATGATGCCATGTGTTATAGTGCCAGAGAGATATCTCAGGATATGTTTGACTGCCTTCCAGTGATCTTGTTAAGGTGTGGCCATGAATTGACAGACTTTGTTAACTGCAAAGCTAATCTCTGGTCGAGTTAGGGTTGCATACTGTAGGACTCCAACTATGGATCTGTAGGTGGAGGGATCAGGTAGACAATCACTTCCGGTATTTGTTAGCTTACAGTTGCTGACCATGGGTGTTTTGACTCCTTTTGAGTCAAGCATTCCAACTTCATGTAGTAGATCTCTGATATATTTGGTTTGAGAAAGGTGTAAACAACCATTTCTCAGTTTTCTAACTTCAATTCCCAGAAAGAAATCAATATCACCCAAATGTTTGAGTGAGAAGGATGAGTGCAGCTTATGAATGAGTTGTTGAATAGCAGTAGGATTATTACCAATGACTAGAATATCATCTACATAGATTAAGATGTAGATTTGAATCCCAGAAGACAGAAATATGAGTAGATATGGATCACATTTACTTTGTTTAAATCCAGCTGCATAGAGGACAGAGGTTAGTTTTTGAAACCATGCTATGGGAGCCTGTTTAAGGCCATACAGGGACTTGTGAAGTTTGCAAACAAGAGAAGTATCCTGTACTTGAAACCCTGGGGGTTGAATCATATAGACCTCTTCATCAAGATTTACATTAAGGAATGCATTATTAACATCAAGTTGTTGTATGGACCAGTTGTGAGAGATTGCTAGGGTAAGTAGAATTCTGATGGTAATAGGCTTGATAACTGGTGAAAAGGTTTCTCCAAAATCAAATCCAAATCTTTGATGGAAGCCTTTAGCCACTAATCTGGCTTTGAACTTATTTAGAGAACCATCAGAATATTCCTTAATTCTGAAAACCCATTTGCAGCCAATAGGTTGTTTGTCAGGTGGTAGAGGAACCAAGGACCAGGTTTTATTTGCCATTAAGGCATCATATTCACTCTGCATAACTGAGAACCACTGAGGGGATGAAATGGCTTGCTTAACTGACTTTGGCTCAGTATTAGCCAATAGTAAGGTAGGATGTAGTCTAGGTTTGACAATTCCTGACTTTGCCCTAATTTGCATAGGATGAGTGTTATTTGGAGGAGGAGAGGATGAAAAGGAGGAGGATATTGTTGTAGGGGTAGACTGACTCGGAGACAGAATAGGAGAGACATGAGGTTGAACTGGTGAACCAGAAGAAGTGGAAGAGAGTGAGTTAGATGAATCATTTCTTTCTGAGACAGTTGATTGAGATTCATTAGTGTGTGTGAGAGAGATGAGTCAATAGAGAGTTGGGATGAGTAAGGTTGAAGAACAGTTAAAGGGGCAGATACTGAAGTTTGTTATGTACTAGATTGAGAGGATGTAGAAGGAAAAAGGACAGAGTAAGGAAATCTGGACTCATGAAATGTAACATCCTTGGAAATGTACACTTTGCCAGAGGAAGAGAGACATTTTTTTTTGAGGAAGAGAGACATTTATAGCCTTTGTGTTGAGGTGAATATCCTAGAAAAACACACTCTTCAGAGTGAAAGTCCATTTTATGTTTATTGTAGGGTCTGATAAATGGAAAACATGAGCAACCAAAGACTTTAAGAAAGGAGTAATCTGGAATAGATCCATACAGTTTGAAGTAGGGGCTGGAGTTAGCAATTGATTTGGATGGAGTTCTATTTAGAAGGTGTACTGAGGTTGCAAAGGCAGTATCCCAAAATTTGAAGGGTAAAGAAGAGTGAGTTAAAAGGGATAGACCTTTTTCCACAGTAGTCCTATGTTTTCTTTCCACAACACCATTTTGATGGTGTGTGTGAGGGCCGATTACGCTATGAGTGATGCCTTTTTCAGTGAGAAAGTTGGTAAAGGACCTAAACTCACCTCCACAGTAGTCCTATGTTTTCTTTCCACAACACCATTTTGATGGTGTGTGTGAGGGCCGATTACTCTATGAGTGATGCCTTTTTCAGTGAGAAAGTTGGTAAAGGACCTAAACTCACCTCCCCAGTCAGATTAAATGGACTTGATGGACTTTGAAAATTGATTTAGGACATACTGATAGAAGTTTTGAAAAGCGGTGAAGGCATTAGATTTCTTTTTCAGAAAATAAATCCAAGTGTATTTTGTGCAGGCATCAATGAAACATATGTGATATGAATAACCATCAAAAGATAATATGGGTGCAGGGCCCCATAAATCAGTGAAGATTAACTCAAAAGGTGAATGGTAAACAGTGTTAGATGATTGTGCTGGTAATCTGTGTGCTTTTCCAAGACAGCTAGCAGAACAGAAAGAAATATCACTTTTATTAATTGAAGACACATTACAGTGTTGGAGTACAGACTTAAGTGCCTCAAAGTGAGGATGTCCTAGTCTTAGATGCCACAGAATACAAGAAACAGGTACATTACATGATTTAGATGTATTACAGGTAGAAATAAAAGAAATGGGGTACACAAACTTGTTTATTGTAGACCCTATAGGAGTAGTAGTTTGACTGACAGCAGATTGATATGACCCAAGAGGAGGAATTGATTGAAACTTGTACAGACCATCTACACCAAGGACTCCATGTAACAGAACTTGTTTAGAAACCTGAGATTTGACATAACAGTCATGAGGATAAAATTCAAAGAACACATTGTTATCTCTAGCAAATTGACTAACACTCAAGAGATTTTTGGTTATGGAAGGAACATGCAGAATGTTATTCAATGAAAGAGATTGAGATGTGGGATAGGGTGAGAGAAAGGAAGAGAAACCAATAAACTTTATATCCAAACCTTGACCATTGCCCATAAAGAGTTTGTCAGTTGTAGCACGAGGTTCATTGTGTTGAAAATTCAGTGGATCAGCTGTAACATGGTGTGGCTCCTGAATCTGGAAACCATTGTTGGATTGATGGAATGGGGCCAAGCCGCCAAGGACAGAAGAGTCTTGAGGATAAATAGTGTGTGGAAGCTGCAGAAGGTGAGGGTCTGGGAGAATGATGTTCCCAATTGAAAATATCTGGAGCTTGTGTAGTAGATTGCTGGTAAAAGCTGCAGAAGGTGAGGGTCTGGGAGAATGATGTTCCCAATTGAAAATATCTGGAGCTTGTGTAGTAGATTGCTGGTTGAAGGAGTGGCCAGGAGGAACTGAAGGTGTGTATTGTTGATATGTGGTTTGTTTGGATGTATAGTTAGGTTGATGAGTAAACTGTTGTTGATAATGTGTGGATATGATGGCTGTGAGTTCCAGTGATTTGAAGGTCCAGATGTAGAAGTGGTATAAGCTGTGTTAGGATTAGGATGAGGATTTGGATTAGTGTAAGCAAGATTGTAACGATGGTAGCATATTAAGGCATGATGACCTGTTTTTCCACACACTTGACAAATTACAGAACTCCGACCTCTATTGAAGCCTCCACGACCTTATCCTCTGTAGGGAGCACTGTTATTAAGGTTATGAAATTGTGCAATGTTCACAGAAGAGTTTTCAGAGGAGTTCGCTTCAGAGTTGTTGTTTAGAGACAAGGTTTCAACTCGAGCAACATTGACAGAGAAGATAGTTTGTTGAGTTGACTCACATAGCTTTTTCATACACATCTCTTTGAGTAAAAGTAAAGGTTCAAGTTCAGATACAGTTACCGGATCTAAAACGCTTCGAGAAGTTACAGAGGATACCAGAGATTCGTATTCCTCTGGAAGTCCTTCGAGAATAACATTGACGTGAATCACGTGATCCTTGGTAGATATGGGCTCTCCGATCGTCATGAGATTATCGACGATGGTCTGAATTCGAAGAAGGTATTCTGAAATCGATCGTTCTCCTTTTCCAGTGTTGTAGAGTTCCGATTTCAGCTGTCTGGCTTTTGCGACAAGGTTTGATTGAAAATATTTGCGAATCACACTCCAGAGCTCATGCGAGTGTTGACAATGAATTACGCGAGCATGGAAGGATTCATATAGAGAAGAAAGCAGCCATGAGAATAGCATCTGGTCCTGTTGCTCCCATACGACATACACATCAGTTATCGTTTTGTTTTCTTCATCATCACCATTGATGATCTGATCAGGAATCTCTGGTTTTTCAACAAATTTGAACAGTTTGTGTGCACGCAGTACTGATTCAATGTGATGTTTCCAAAGAAGGTAGTTGTTCGAATCAAGTTTGATTGGAACACTGCTGGAAATGTAGTATTTCCAGTAGCTGGAGAAGAGGAAGCTGTTGAGCTTGAGTTCGTCATGCTAGATCGAGCTAAAGCTCTGATACCATATTAGAATAGCAACAAGAATTGAAAGGAAGAAGATGATTTCTCATTATTTTCACAATAGCCACTACATGTCTATTTATAGTACAGAAGCTTAACAGATTTGTAACTAATAGTAGGCAGCTCTAACCGACTAACTGTGACAGCTAGATTAGTTCTAGGCTATTACAATGTGCGTACATATATTATACCTAACAGGAAACAATCAATACAGAGAATTTCACTTTGTTTTGTCGTGTAAAGTGTAAACATTGTCACTTTTCTCTGTATTTGAATTTTTCACTTATTCTGGGAAGCCTTGAAAGATGAACACGGGAAGAGGGGGAGTGTGTATGTGTCTGTAAAAAATTCACATTTACTTCTTCTCTATTTTTGAGCCCTAATGTGTAAGATTGAGGGTGCCTTTTTAATTAATAAATACTAAGATCATTAGTTGAGACACTTTTTGTTTGTTTGTTCCAGTGCCATATGCCCATACTTGGCATTGGAGACATGTCGTCAGTGGCGCTTGAGCAACAAAACTATGAACCTGATGCGTAATGGGAAGATGCCCACTGTTACTATTGAACAAGCTCAAAAGAATTTCTGTAAGGTCTGTATCTGAATGAGGAATGGATTTGCATAAGACGTTGTCTTTTTGTTGGGATTCCTGTCATTTTCTGGAATTGCGTACATGCATTTCTCTGTTTCTTAATTTTCTTTTGTTTCAATAGTTCGTAATACAGGCATTTAGCACAATGATTCCTAGGCTACTTAAATGGCTCCAACCCACACATCCGTCCGTTTGGTACCACAAAATACGATTATTTTACTTTATTTCTTCAGTAACTCCAAAAAACATGTATTTAAATAAATGTGTTTCTATTTCTGCTTTGAGTTTTAATTGGATGATAGTAATGGAAAATTAAAAAAACACAAAAAATTAACAAAAGATACGAAGTACACACTAGTAAGTAAGCAAGTAACAAGTATTAACACAGCCAAATTCACATACTTCCACAACCAATAGTAAGGAACATTAGTTGAATTCAATGAGAAATGACTATATGAGGTGTGAATTATACACAAAAGTCCATTTGATTCTTATTCCTGAAAGATCATGAAGGAAAGGCAGACCAGATTACTATCAACATCTTAATGCCCTACAATTAGACAATACATTCACTAATGTTCCTTAATATTGGTTGTGGGAGTGTGTGAACTTGGCTGTGTTAATACTTGTTACTTGCTAGTTTGTACTTCGTATCTTTTGTTGATTTTTTGTGTTTTCTAATTTCCTGTTATTGTCGAGTATCGTCCAATTAAAATTTAATGCATAATTAGCAACATTTATATTTAAATACATGCTTATTATTATAATTCATTATATTATTAATTCTATTATTATTATTATTTATTATTATTATGATTTATCATGCATGGGCATTTTGAGTCTTTATTCAATTTCAAAGCATACCAAGTTAGTACATTCATTCTCAACTGCCAAATAGCGAAATATGAAAACCTCTTTCACACCTCATATGTAGGTTTTAGGAATAAAACTTCCTTAGTATTATTGAGCCATCCGGCTATGGTATATATACATGTTACATATAAAATCAAGTTGTTACAGATCCTAAAAAATAGGATCTATCTATTCTATCTATTCTGTGAGCTTATCTACTAATTAGAGAGTCCTATCTACTCTAATTCTTATCTACACAGTTCCGGATGTACAAGTAATTAAAATAACAAGAATATGTTACATTTTTCTACACTCCCCCTCAAGTTGGTAAGTATATATCATACATTCCCAACTTGCTTATAAGTAGCTCAAATATAGGTCTAAATAACCCTTTGGTGAAGATATCAGCTGTTTGATCTTTAGTGGATACAAATGGTGTACAAATGATTCCAGCTTCAATCTTCTCTTTAATGAAATGTTGTCCACTTCAATGTGCTTAGTTCTATCATGTAGCACAGGGTTATGAGCAATGCTTATAGCAGCTTTATTATCACAATATAACTTCATAGGCAGCTCAATCTCCATCTTTAGTTCTGTGATTACTCGTTTGATCCAGAGTAACTCACATATTCCATTAGCCATTGCTCTGAATTCTGATTCTGCACTACTCCTAGCAACCACATTTTGTTTCTTACTTCTCCAGGTTACTAGATTTCCCCATACATAGGTGCAGTATCCAGAGGTAGATCTCCTATCAGAAATTGAGCCAGCATAATCCGCATCAGTAAAAGCTTCAATTTTCCTATTGTTTCCCTTTTTGAAAAACAATCCTTTCCCTGGACAGCTCTTCAGGTATCTTAGAATCCTGTAAGTAGCATCAAGATGTTCTTGGAAAGGATGATGCATAAACTGACTTACCATGCTTACTGCAAATGCAATATCTGGTCTAGTGTGTGCCAGATATATTAATTTTCCTACCAATCTTTGATATTGGTGAATATCAACTGGATTTCCCTCCTTGATATCTCCCAATTTCTGACTTGGGTCAATTGGAGTGTCTGCTGGTTTGCAGGCACTCATTCCAGTTTCCTGTAGAAGATCTAAAACATATTTCCTTTGTGAGACAACAATACCCTTCTTTGATCTAGCTATCTCCATTCCTAGGAAAAATTTTAAATTTCCTAGGTCTTTAATCTCAAATTCATGAGCAAGTTTGTCTTTCAATCTTTTAGTCTCTGTGTGATAATTTCCTGTGAGGATAATATCATCTACATAGACAATTAAGATTGCAATCTCCCCCTTACCTGAAAACTTCATGAATAAAGTATGGTCAGCTTGAGCTTGATTAAATCCTTGCTTTTTTATGAACTTTGTGAATCTGTCAAACCAGGCTCTTGGAGACTGTTTAAGTCCATATAAAGCCTTCTCTAATCTGCAAACCTTTAACCCAAACTTATTTTCAAACCCAGGTGGAGGTTCCATGTACACTTCTTCTTCAAGTTTCCCATTTAAAAAAGCATTCTTTACATCCAGTTGTTGTAATGGCCAGTCTAAATTGGCAGCAAGAGATAAAAGAATTCTTACAGTGTTCAACTTTGCAACTGGTGCAAAGGTTTCTTTGTAATCAATTCCATAGGTCTTTGTGTACCCCTTGGCAACTAGTCTTGCCTTATATCTCTCCAAACTTCCATCTGCCTTAAACTTGGGGTTGAAAATCCACCTGCAACCAACTGTAGGTTTATTTTTAGGTAACTCTACAAGCTTCCATGTCTGATTCTTTTCAAGAGCCTCCATCTCCTCCAAAACAGCTCTCTTCCACTCAGGTTTAGATAGGGCATCCTGTATGGTTGTAGGAATAGAAATAGAAGAGATGCTGGAAGTAAAGTCTGCAAAGTCTGATGTTAATTTAGAATAAGAAACATAGTTTGAGATGGGGTATTTAACACATGTTCTTCTCTCTTTTCTGAGAGCAATAGGAAGGTCAAAGTTGTTAGAAGTATTACCTTTTTCACTTCCTGACATTGAGGCAGAATCATGGACAGTTGTAGGTTTTTGAACTTCCTCTATTCTTTGATTTCTAACCCTTCTCTCATAAGTTTTTTCAAAGAACTGACTTGTCTGTTGATCCTTTTCAATTGGTTCAGTTGGATTTACTTCATTATTTTTAATTCCTTGATCATTTTCAGGTGTACTGATATTTGAAAAAACATTATCATCCTGATTAATATCAAGAAAATTAAAACTTTCATGAATATTTGGCATTATAGGAACATCTTCACTTAATTTCTCCCCCTGAAGATGAGAATCAAAAAAAGGTTGTTCTTCCATAAAAATAATATCCATAGTAACAACCATTGTTTTGGTTGTAGGATCAAAACATTTATACCCTTTTTGAGTGGCAGAAACACCTAGAAACACACATTTTTTCCCTCTAGGATCAAACTTACTTGCATATTTATCTGGATTTTTGATAAACACTGTGCAACCAAAATTTTTTAAAGGAAGGGTGTTTACCAATCTATTTGTAGGAAAGAAGTGTTGTAGTAAACTAATAGGACTTTTAAATCCTAAAATTTTGGATGGCATGCGATTAATTAAATAAGTTGCATGTAACACTGCTTCTCCCCACAAATATTTTGGTATGTTTGTTGAAAACATGATTGCACGAGTGACTTCAAGTAAATGTCTATTTTTTCTTTCTGCAAGTCCATTTTGAGCTGGTGTATTGACACAAGAGCTTTGATGAATAATGCCTTTTTCAGAAAAAAAGTTGTTTAAAGTTTGAGAAAAATATTCACGGCCATTATCACTTCTTACCATTTTAATTTTGGTATTGAATTGAGTTTGGACCATAGCATAAAATGTTCTAAATATTTTCTCAACTTCAGATTTTTCTTTGATTAAAAATACCCATGTGACACGAGTATGATCATCAATAATAGTTACAAACCATCTCTTTCCCTTTAAAGTTGGTATTCTAGATGGGCCCCAAATATCACTATGTACCAAGGTAAAAAGGGCTAGTAGGTTTATAACTGTGGGGTAAATAGGTGTTTCTGTGATGTTTTGCAAGAGCACACATATCACAATTAAACAAAGCAGCATCTTTATTAAAAAATAATTGAGGAAACATCTTTTTTAAATAATAGAAACTAGGATGTCCTAGTCTATAATGAAGTAAATACAACTCTTTATTGTTTGAAAAAGAAACAGTTTGCAAACAAGCATTTCTTAGACCTTTTTTATTAGATTGAGTTTCTCCATCAAAGATATAGAGTCCATCCTCCTCCTTAGCACTGCCAATCATCTTCCCCGATGCTAGGTCCTGAAAAATGCAATGAGAGGGATAAAAAATGACACAACATTGTAGATCTTTAGTTATTTTACTAACTGAAGTAAGATTGCAGGATAGATTAGGGACATGAAGGACTTTGGATAGATTCAGTGATGAAGAAATACTAATATTTCCCATCCCTGCAATGGTTGATAGAGAACCATCTGCAACCTTAACCTTTTTATCTCCTGCACTAGGTTTATATGAAGAAAAAAGGTTTGAAATAGAAGTCATGTGATCAGTAGCCCCTGAGTCAATAATCCAGGTATTTTTAGATTTCCCAGAACAAAAAAATGATGAATAGGTACCATTTTGGGCATAAGAGCAAGAGGAAGATTCTGGTTTGGATTCTTTCTGGGAATTTTGGGTTTTCTGGGTATTAAGGAAGTTAAGAAGTTGCCCTATCTGCTCCTGAGTGAATGAAAGTTGATTGAACTTGACTTGTGGTTCATGTTGAGTCTCAGTCACAGTTGTTTGTAGGGCTTTCTCAGTTTTTTTCTTTCCTGCCCCTGGTGGTTTGCCATGAATTTTCCAACAAGTCTCCCTAGTGTGCCATAATTTCTTGCAATGATCACACCAGGGTTTCTTCTTGTCATCACTCCTAGCCACCATTGCTGAAGAGTCCCCAGATTCCTCATTATGTACTGGAGTGCTGTACATAACCTTCTTCCTGCTATCCTCCATCCCGATTTCAGAAAATACCTCCCTGATAGAGGGTAGAGGTTTTTTTCCAAGTATCCTCCCCTTAATTTCATCTAGGTCCCTATTGATCCCTGCTAGAAACATATAGACCCTATCATTCTCTTCTCTTTTCTTATGTCTGGCCAGATCCTTAGCACTCTCCCACTCTTCATCACCATAGCATTGATCTAATTCTTGCCACAGAGATACCATTTCATTGTAGTATGAAATAATATCCCTATTTCCTTGTTTAGATTGCCACAGTTTGGTTTTGAGTTCAAAAATTTGAGAAGAGTTCTCAAGATCTTAATAAGTTTCCTTAATAGAATCCCATACCTCCTTTGCAGTTTTCATAAACATATGAGGTTTGGCAATTAAGGGCTCCATGGAGTTGAGAAGCCAAGCTGTTATGAGTGAATTCTCTGACCTCCATGTACTGTACCCTTCTTCTGCAGGTAGTTTTGGTTGGATTTCTCCTGTGATGTAACCCAGCTTTCCCCTCCCATCAATTGCAAGTCTGACAGATTGAGACCACTCCAGATAGTTTGTTCCATTCAATCTATGACTAGTAATTATCATAGATGAATGAATAGGAGACTGATAATTTGTCATAGAGCTAATTTGGGAGTTAGGGTTGATAGTGTGTGATGAATCAGCCTCACTGGTTTCTACCATGGTTTAAACCGAGGCTCTGATACCATGTAGGTTTTAGGAATAAAACTTCCTTAGTATTATTGAGCCATCCGGCTATGGTATATATACATGTTACAGATAAAATCAAGTTGTTACAGATCCTAAAAAATAGGATCTATCTATTCTATCTATTCTGTGAGCTTATCTACTAATTAGAGAGTCCTATCTACTCTAATTCTTATCTACACAGTTCCGGATGTACAAGTAATTAAAATAACAAGAATATGTTACATTTTTCTACATCATATAATAATTTCTCATAGAATTCAACTAATTCCTCATTAGGCTGCTAAGGAATAAACTAGTCTGGGGAAATATCATACATAACTTGGGAAATATCAAGTATCAACATAACAATATCAAGTATCATATATATTCCTCGTCTGTGTGTGTATGTATGTATGTATGTATGTATGTATGTATGTATGTATGTATGTATGTATGTATGTATGTATGTATGTATGTATGTATGTATGTATGTATGTATGTATGTATGTATGTATTTGTGGTTGCTGACTGGCTGGCCGGCCAGGATGTATTTCCGATCCTATAAAAGCATTCACCACTAAACTTACACTCCATATACCCGGTCTTGCTATAGCCTATAAACATGAGAACTTCTGATATACATTAGAATTTGGATAACTGAATGAAGATGCTAATAACTTACTCTCACAACATATCACCCTAAATTGAAAATCAAATCTTGGCAAGTAATATCTAAATAAATTTCAGTCCGTTGAGATTACAATCCACCACATATGTGTCTCCTAGCTTGTTGAAGGCATACTTCTGTTGTTATATATTGATCTAGGGTTGAGAATTTGCGACTTCTATTCCTAGAAGAACTTCAACATGCTGAATCTTTAGTTCCAAAATGTTGAGATAAATACATTGTCACAGTAATAACAATATCATCAACATACACAACAAAGTAGACACTGTGATTCATTGAAGTTTATAGTAGATGGAAGCATACAGTGTACATTTGCTCTCTCCTGAGTCCAAACTTCTGAAGTACCATATGTCTGTTATTGTTGTATTAGTAATGATTGGAACACATTTAACAATTCAGCCTGTTTCACTAAAATACTTAAGTAGCAAATAGTAATCATAAATAAAAGTTACAAAACATTAAAATAATAATATTTAATGACACAATTAGGCCTCCGGATATCACTATGAACTAATGAGAATGGAGTCAGCTCTCTTATTGACATGATTAGGAAATGCGACACTGATAGCCCGAACTGATTGCCATGTTAGCAAGATTCACTCTGTAAGGTAGACAACATTGAAAGGATTGGAAAAAGTGCTGTGAGTTTATTGAAGGAAGGATGTTTCAATTGGTTCTGAAGAAAAGAAGGTTAACACGTTAAATGGCGACAGTGCAAATGATGGAAGGTGAAGCAAGATAGACTAGATAGTATTGTCCCCCCAATTGATTTTCTATTAGCACATTACAAACTCTACTCAAACGTAATAGGTTAAAGATGGGAACATGGTTTTAATCAAATAAGTGATCAAAATGCCATCTCTATTAAATAACATTATAACACACACAAACCATATATGTTCCATCAGAGTAACTTGCTGTTAAGTAATTGTCCATTTCTAAAATAATCACCTAGGAAATATCAACTATAAAAATATCAACCTACATGAACTGCTTGCTGACAGCTATATAGTTGTCCTAGAGAGACTGTTCCTAAGGTTCAACTCGATTGCAGGCTATAAATTTCGGGCTTCTCAAGATTCTTTCCAAAATGGGCATTTCACTGCTTTCGAGGTAGTGTCTTTCATCGCTGTTTTTTCTCCTGATTACCGTGCAATATTACTATTGTTGTTATTATCGGCATCTTTCTTCTTGTTTTCTTTCATCACTGTTTTCAGTTTTTAACTTAACTTGTTCTGTTTTAGTTACTGTGGAGCACAAATATTTGAAATATATGGACTGGGAAAGGATGTTGTCGATATTGCATTTTGTGGGAGTAAATCAAGTATTGGCGGCTTGACTTTGGATGAGGTACTAAAAATCCAAAACTGAGATAGAAACCCTAACCCTGTTGGGTAAATTTTTATTCTACCATTTATATTACTACATGTGTGATTATTGGTAAAATTGTGTTTTGATAACTGAGTTTTTCCTCTAGAAGTGTAACCCTTAATCCCTTATGGGAGTTTGGAGTTTTGCATAATGCCAGTGTGATAAAATGACATTGCTGTTATATTTTGGAACCTTCCTGGTCATTTATACAATTGATAGTCTTGAAGAATCCCAGCATGATTAAAAATCTCTACCGCTGCAGTTTGTTTTCTTCTTGCTCATTTATACCTTTTTATATTTCAGAAATGCCCAAAGTAGGAGTAAACGCAATGTGATATTCCACAATAGACGTACTACGTTTTTCTCTAAATAGGAGTAATTACTGTAATGTTTGGAAAATACTTCCAATTATGACAATATTATTGCCATATTAATGCATGGTAATGCCAAAAAATGACAGATGACAATAATTCACTCCTATTTAGGTGGGAAAATATAGTACTCCTATTTTGGAATATCACATTGTTTGTACTCTTATTTTCCCCAAGATTTTATTCTTATTAGAAAGCACAAGCAGCAGATAGACTAAAAGTATAAGGGGAAATTCCCTTTTAATAAACTACTATAAAACTACTAATAAATGACTTGTGCTTTCTAATAAACTGCTACGAATTTCATGATCTCTCTGCTGCTTGTGTTTCCTTGTAACTTAATGACACTGAGTTTGGATATTCTTATTTCTTTCAGCTGGCAAGGGAGACCTTGTCGTTCTGGGTTAAGGCTTTCTCTGAAGATACTGCAAAAAGACTTGAAAATTACGGGTTCATACAGTTCAGACCAGGAGGTATAAAATATTTCAGATTTTTGTCATACCTAGGTATACAGTTAAAGTAAAATGCTATTGTGTTCATTACTCTATAAGAGGAGTGAATATATGTGATCTAGACAATACAATCTCAGGAGCTCAGTTGACAGGACTTTTATTCAGTCTTGGACTAAATAAATTAGGGGTTTTGGTCAATTCAACCTAAAATGCAGAGAAGTTTTTTTTGACACTCCAGAACATGATACGCGCATCTATTTTGAACTATATACCATACACGTTCCAAATATTACCTTTCCTTATTTATGTTAATATAGAAGCCAACATCATTGGGAGAAGTTATGTTTGAGACTTAAAAGCTTTTCTTCTGTTACAAACTTTTTTGACAACCTTGAAAATATGTTTTTGCTAGTTTTAAATTAAAACTAAATCCTTAAGGCCTATGGTCTCATTATTCATTTAAATTTAAATGTTAGGGGAATATCATGGAAATAATCCTGAGATGTCAAAACTGCTCCATAAAGCTGTACGCCAAAAGAGTGGAAGTGCTTATTCAGTTTATCAGCAGCATTTGGCAAATCGACCTGTAAACGTGAGTTGCTACTTGGCATGTTTTGCTTCAGATTATATTCTGACTTATGAGTTTTGATCCTGGAGTTACATGTCTAGGAGTTCAGGTGTGCTCTGAATCTGTTGATTCAAGATTTTTTTAATGTGACAGTAACTAATAACATACAAGTAACCAGCCAGAACCACCAATATTATGAATTTTATGTGCTCTAATGTCTACTTGATTATTATTGGTCGAGACATCTAGCTAAATTCTTTAAATAAATGTTTTGGAACATTTAATGTAATAACAGGTTCTTCGGGACCTACTGGAACTGAAAAGCAATCGTTCCCCTATTCCGGTTGGAAGGGTTGAACCTGCTTCGTTGATTGTGAAGCGATTTTGCACTGGTGGCATGTCTCTTGGAGCTATATCTAGGGAAACCCATGAGGCCATTGCAATTGCTAT